CCCCAAAACCCCAAAACCCCAAAACCCCATCATACCATTTAGGCTTTAAATTTTAAGAATCTAAAATAGAAACAATTAATATAATCGATATTCACCTTCATTAAATTGGTTCCAAAATCATCCCATCAAGAATCCAAGCGAACTTATGAGAAGGGACGCCAAAATTTTCAAAATCTATTTTAACATTACATGAAGAGGTATTATACTAGGTCAAATCTATTTCACCAATTTTTTCCTTGATAATTTATTCAAGCATCATTGAATCAAAATTTTCATTTTTAATGAAAACCTCGTGAATTAAATTGTATTTTTATTCTTCAATTTTTCCTGTATCATCAGACTACTATACGATAGCATTCACATTGATATAGTTAAGCTCTCTGCAGTTTGATTTACCCTTTCTTCCATGAAGAAGGTAAACATGATAGCGAGCAGTTTTAATGTTAGAAGCCATCACCCATGCATAAATATCAGAGTCATAATGTAGATTCACTGAGGGCTTTCCGAATTAACTGCCAGGGAAGTTCTTAAATTTGTAATTAAAGGATATTTATTTGTGCTCCCAATTACCCCCAGGATAAGCTAAGTAATCAAATTTTTTCTTTTCTTGGTTGAATCTTAAATAAGTAAATGGAGAATCCTTAACATTGAATAGTCTGTTTGATTGGTGAATTTGATCTAGAGTTTGAAAATTGTGTAACTCTTGCAGAGGTATGTTCCAATGAGAAGCAATTAAGACTTTTAATCTTGAAAAATCTCCCAAAAAATGATCAATTATAATCTAATTGGAAAGCTTGCTAAGCAATAGCATTTTTCTAACATTTTCAATATCAAAGAAAGGTAATAATTCTTGTCTTAGCATTGCTTTCTTATTTATGAATAGGCTTTAAAGTGTGTTAAATTATTGACTTTCCATTGCTTTTTGGATCTTTATAAAATTACGTAATTATTTAACTAAATTTATTTATTCAAATCCTTAATTCTATAAACATCATATTTATCTTAAGGGGTTTTGGGGTTTTGGGG